TTTTTAAGTTCAACATATTTCAGACATCCCAGTCTTTCTACGAGAGACTCGAGTCTCTCAATTTTTCAGGTTTATTCATTCAGTCTCTCTGTGAGAGACTCGAATCTCTGAATTAACAATTTTATCGTTCGAGTCTCTCATACAGAGACTGTGAGAGATCCATAAAAACACCTAGGAAACAACTGAGAGACTGGGAAGAGACTGAAAATTTTTGTCTAGGGCCATTAGGGAGGTTTTGACGTAAAACTGACAAAAATAGCTCATCTAAACCTTCATTGTATGCCATCGTAAATTATATATTCGTGTTCAGCGACCCTCAAAACTACCAAGTAACTAATTTCAATAGATTTTTAATGAATTTAAAACATAACTACTGAAGCCGACGTGTGCATGATATACGCCCTGGATCCCAGGTACCTCGAAGGCCGTCGCGTTCATGTTCAGCGACCGTCAATGTTCTTCAATTTTGTTATACTTATGACAATTCCGAAGGCAATTAGCTGTTCGATAAAAACCGCTAGATGTAACATCTCTGGTTACAATAATTACCGATTGTTTTGTACGATTGCATATTGTCTAGCAAAAAGACAATAAATAATGCGATTATTAATTAGTCGTTTTCCTTGCAATTTGCAATGCAGGTCAATGAGAAATGCAACGCCAGATGAAAAGCAAAAAACCTGACCGCAACTGTTGGCGAGAAACAAAAAATGAGAACGAAATGAGCAACTAAGTCACCAGACTGCATTATTAAAAATTAATTGATCAATGTGTCTGCACTGCACAATGCATTAAGTTTTGCTTAATATACCTTTGGAACATATTGTGTGATAGTTTTTATCCCTCGGGAATAGTATCTATTTTCTGGATAGAAGGAACCCTGTGTAGGTACTTTTCTATATACCTTTGACAATGCGTGTACAAAATTTCATGATGGATTTTACCCCCGGCTTCGCTTTTGTTGATGTCACTAGAATTCTAGTGGAAATCCCATTCCCGAACTCAATGGGATTTTCCATTGCTGAAGGCAATGGAAATCCTAGTGTCAATTCTTTATTTTGTACCTTTAATTGTCTATTATTAGTGATAATTAAATGAAATGAAAAAAAAATATAAATTACATGACAATTATTATTCCAAATAATGTATTGAATGGTTTCAAATAGAATTTATAAATTTTGCATTGGTTCCCATTGAAAATCAATGGAAATTTTTCCTATGTAAATATTAATGGAATTATTATAAATGGAAACAATTATTTTTTCATTTATGCCAAATGGTTTTGAATGGAATTTATAAATTTTCAACTGATTCCCATTGAAGTTCAATGGCAATTTTTCCTACGGGCCAAGGCAGACGGACTCGGAATCGACCCGGCGTCTTCCCGAATGCTAAGCAATGATCTAAAAGATTGTGATTTGTTTTATAACAGTGATCTTAAATTGTGACGTGATCACTGTTTTCTATTGCAAATGTTCCCGTTTTCTTGTTCTTCCTCTACTCGCAAAAGCAGCAACGGAAATGCCATAAGGCGGGAAGTCGCTTGTATTTGTAATGACATTACGGAAAAGTCGATTATAGAAGTTTCTGTAGCAGTTAAGTCACGAGGTCGGTTGTATCACATGTAAATTCTAAACGTGATAAACGGATATCGACTTAATGGTAGAACATAGGTAGAACTGATTTAATTATAGACTCTTGTAAAATGGAAGCTCATGTGCGAAAAATTAGTAACAGTAACGACCTGTGATTTTTTAATATCAGTGAATAAATCGCAGTTCGTGAAATATCTCCCATCACTAGCCCTACCCAGCGTTGTCGTGTTAAAAAAAAAAAGTGTTTTAAGCAATGTTTAAAACTCGAAAACATCACACATTTTTAAACTCCTTCGGCTGGAGTAGAAGTACTTACTTATTGGTTACAGAGGTGAAATAAAGAAAACATCTCACAGGATTGGCATGTCTGAAACGGTGTTTAAAGATGTATTTTAAACACTGTTAAAAACTCAGCTGGTTAATCACTTCAACGCGCTGCTATAAAAAATATGTTTAAAACAAATTTAAAACATTTAAGAAAAGTGTTCAAAATAAACGTAAAAACAATTGTTTAAAACATATGAAAAATATGTTGGAAATTCCCCCTTCTGGGGCAAAAAATCGGTATTGTTCTGTAATCAATAAAATACTTTATTCACCCATCAGCTTCGATTTTTGTGTTTAGTAGGTACTGGTTGTTACTACAAATTTTTATTTTTTCTGTTCATTTTCGATTGTATTGTATCGATTAATCAGCAAGAATAATTGTTTATTAATTTTTACTTGATAAAATCATTATTCAGAAGCAATTTTCATCTCTTGTTTTAATCTAAGATTAATGGCAAATACTTCAATGGATTCGATTTAAGGAAGGATTTGGAGCCGGCGTGGGATTTTGCAGGTACTTACGCAACTGATGCGATAACCGATTACGCCGTTGAAGTGATATCAAATCAGGCTGAGGATAAGCCGCTATTTATGGTTATTTCCCACTTTGCCCCTCACGCAGGAAATGAAGGGAAATTACTGGATGCGCCCCCGGAAGCCGTTGGAAAATTCCCGCATATCATAGACGCCCATCGAAGAATATTTGCAGGTAAATTATGAGATAGCTATTCCCTTATCAGCAAGAAAATGTATAAATTCGAATTAGATATTCATGTATATATCTCTATCGTGAACTTGAATCCGCTGAAGGGTATGTATAGTTTAATTTAAAGCATTAGGACTTTTGAATGATTTAGGAAATTCCATGGTAAATTTACTATTACGTACACAATCATCAATAGGGTAATGTTCGTGGGTTTAACAAAATTAACTTTTAAGACTGATAACGACAAAAACTATTTATTTACACTAATTATTAAAAATAATTTAAAAACACTATTAAATTGTTACTACACTTAGGTTATGAATTATTCTATTTATTTACACTACTGGTGATATATCACTATTCACTGCACTATTTATTTCACTGCTATCACTGTCAATTTACTTCTCGATTCACTTCTGCAACGGTCAATTTATTTCTTCCCTCCTCGGCGCGANCTCGGCGATCGTCTCTTCCTTTAAATACTCTTTTGTTTACTTTCGGCAGTCTTCTCGAAACATCCGGATAGTTTATTTTTTCTTTGAACTGTTTAACTGCTTTCCCAGAACGCAGGTACGACACACACATTTACAAATACGGCGCACATGAAGAATGGCGCCCGCGGCTAGTCGGCGAATCGATAAGCCGTTCACGCACACAAACACACTCATGCTCGCTACAATACATGATTCCCGACGGCAAGTATGACCGCAGGTAGGAACCGGTCGATGATCTGCAACTTTTGCATTATAATCCGAGGGTAATAAATCATACTGTAAGTGACATAATATATCTGCCACTTAACAAAACAAGTTCCAGAAATCTCGAGAAAGATCAAGAGAGTTCCAGAGAATTCGACTATAATATTAATACGCCTCTGGATAATAATTGTATTAGTTAGTTAAAATAATAAAATGTGATCAGTAATATAAATAAACAGTGCGTATTAACGAATACAGAGTGAAATAAATATAGTGAAGAATAAAGAAGTGTTATAAATACCGTATGATATAGATTAGAAGTACTCTAATTAATACTATCGCGTAAATAAATAGTCGTAAAAATAAATACAAAAATTTGTTACAAAGGGAAATTTTCAGGTTCTTAATTTGGATAGGGTAAACGACTATTTATTTTGAAAATATTAATTAAAATATTCTTTATCAATAAATATATATAAATTATGAACAGGGACACCAAACAAATAATAAATACTTTAAATATATTGTATATATGCACAAATATACATATGGTTTATATTTGTTTTAGGGATGGTGTCAAAACTAGACGATAGCGTAGGAAGAGTTGTGGAAGCACTAGATCAGAAAGGAGTTGTTCAAAATTCAGTAATTATTTTCTTATCGGATAATGGTTCCCCAGGTACATCCAGGCCATTCCCAAACTGGGGCTCTAATTATCCTTTGAGGGGTCTAAAAGGTACTTTGTTCGAAGGAGGTTTAAGGAGTGTAGCTTTTATATGGAGTCCTTTACTTGGTCAAAGTTCTAAAGTCTCTATAGAGCTTATTCACGTTAGTGACTGGCTACCCACATTAGTATCTGCAGGCGGTAAGTTAAAACGATAACGATAACGATAACGATATCGTCTAACAAGTAGACCTTATGTCGCTTTATTCTTTATGAAATTCTAAAGTAAAGGAAAGTGGAGAAGAGGGATTGAAAAATGAGTCTTTCCTTTAGTGTTTGTTTGGAAAATCAGTCACGCTCCACCCGTCAAATTTGTCAGTTTACCTTCACGAAATGCAAACACTTAAAATTTAGTAAAGACGTACATATTAAATAATTAATTTGGAGGTATATTAGTATTGAATATAGAACACAACAGTTTCAAAGAATTTTTGCATATTTCGGACTACAAATGGAAGAAATCCTTCATCTGAGGGAGTCTGCAAGACGAAACAATAATTGTATTACGAAATATAAGAAAATTCTTTGAAGGTGTTGCTCTCATTTTATTAAAGAAATATATAATAAATTATACTGTCCTATATACTTATCAACAGTTAGTACCCTAAATTATGTAGGTAGGTATTTAAATATTTTAGAGAGAGAAGGTTGTAATATGCTTTTTGGTTTTATTATTCTGAGTCATATAAAGTGAACTGGTCTTAAACACGTGTTTTTTTTTTATTTTTTCTGTGGAATATTCCAGTAAGATTGATCGAACTGTATGCCAAGGACATGTCACCTCTATTTTATTTTGGTAATTGTTGAAACAAAAAATATATCTACTATACTATGTAAGTACGGAAACGTCATAGCTAATGTTCTATAAATTTCATTCTTTCAAAAAAAATTCACGTCAGTCTGTCTTTTAAATTAAGCAAAACAATTAAACACTTTTTAGAGGTCGCTCACCAATTTTAAAAATTGAAAAATAGTAAAAAATTAAAATTTGTTTTTATTTTTATTTAAATTCTTGTCATGCTAGAATAGATGTTATACATAAAAGACTGATCAATCTTTTAAAATTTCAGCTCGAAATATGAATTCTTGAATGTCGCTCAACTATTTTGAAAATTTTTGTGTCAACACTTTATATTTTTGAGCGACCTTGATACCAATATTACCTATGTATATTATTAATTATAAGACGTAACGTTTTTTACTTTTAATCCAAATTATAATGAAATATTGATTAATTTTTATGCATGAGCATTTGACGTAATGTGAAAAAAAAATTAATAGAAAAACAAAAATTAATATTTTTCCATTTGTTAAAATTCATGAGAGACATTGAAGCGTTATTAAATCATAACGAAGTAATAGATTTTCATGCAGTAAGTACGAGGAAAACCTTCGATACTTTTAATCAGCCTCAATGTACCCTTCAAATCAGAAATGAAATATTTAGATATATGTATATTTAACTAAGGTATGACCTATGAACGTCATTCCTACATATACATTAAATATTCTTTGTTTGATTATATTACCTACAAATAAAATCATAATAACCTCAAATGAAATAATATAGGCAATAAGTACCTAATCAGCTAAACCTTTTACGACATTACAAATTTAACACAAATATTGAGTAATTTCTCAAGGAGATGTCATTCAAAGGGGTTGAATAAATAAACGACTTCGATTCTTTATAAGACCCTTTTGTAGGTTACAATCAAAAATATAAGATTCTGAACAAAGCAAAGAGATAAGAAGTGTCGAGTTGGAAAATTATGTATTTAGGTATAGCAAGTAGACAAATGATATAGAATTATGTATATGGTTTCAAGTTCATGGCAGATCAAAGAAAAAAATTAGTCCAAGAGTTGTATGCTTTTAAAGGGGCAATCAACTGGTGACCTTGTGCGTGTTGTACAGAGAAGGATGGAAAAAAGGACGAAAGAACTACTTGGGGAAGACCAATCTTAGAAGAAATAGAGGAATGCGGGAAGCCATTTTAGGGTAAAAATTAAAAATTTAAAAAAGTCTCTGGACAACGTTAAATGGGACAAGATGTTAAAAATAAAGGGATGAAAGATAGTGATAGAAGAGTGATGTATATTTTGTAGAAACAGCAACAGGCAGTTATAGAACTTGTGCAACAACGTAGAGAAATAAATATTAGGAAGGGAGTCAGACAAAAGGATGCACATTATTGATACATTTTAATCTATGCATAGAAGACGCAATAAACATCATTAAAGCAGACGTATAGGAATAGAAATACAGGGGCAAAAAATTAGCATGCTTAGATTTGCAAATGGTATAGCTATATTAGCATCTAGCAAAGAGGAGTTAGAGATAACCTTAAATAAAATGTAATGACAAAAGAGTATTGTACGAAAATAAACAAAAGTAAACCAAAAGTACTAGTTTCCAAGGGAAGAAAAGGACATGAAGAATTAGAAGAAGTGGCTAATTTTCGGTACCTTGGAAGTCTGTCTGAGGATAGCGCAGGTTCGAATCGCATTTAACAAAAAGAAGTTACTTCTATGCTCACAAATGGTTAATTCAGAAATTTGAAAAACAAAGCTAAAGGCTTATGCCTGGAGCACAATACTGAATGGGTGCGAAACGTGGACAGTCAGAGCGGCGGAAACGAAAAGGTTACGTTAGGTTAAACGTTCAAAATATGGTGTCACAGCTGAGTGAGGAGGATACCGTGGATAGAAAACGTTAGAATTGAGAAGCAGAAATAGTTGGAGAACAGAGGGCACTATAGAAGTCAAGAAGAGATAGGCGAGATAGGTTGCTAGGATACCTTCTCTGGCATGAAGGGCTAGTTGGAGACATATTAGAAGCAGAAACAGGAGGTAGGAGGAATAGAGGCAGATCGAGAGTAAATTACTGTTTAAAAATAGTTAAGGATGTGGGATGTTCTAGTTTTAGGGAAATGCGAAGATTATTTAGGAAAGAGTGGTGGTGCGTTTCTTAGGACTGACGACCTTATGATGGTGTTGAGGTGTTTATGAAGAAAGGTTTTTTTCCAAATACAAAAATAAGTAGGAATTCCATTTTAAAGAACAGCTGGATTAAAGAATCTTATAAATACCAATGTCCTGGTCACAGTATAGGCCACCAAAAAATTGTCCTTTTGAACACATAAGTATACTTAGTTTTCTGAAATAAAGAGATTCAATCAAGATATTTTGGATATTTAATTGTTCTTAATTTCTCATAAATACGGACTGAAAAAAGGATTAGAGTAAATAAATTTAATAACTACACACTATACAAATACAAACAGTAGATTATAGAATTTTCAACTCTTTTTACTGTTAGGTCCAGAATATATATTGTCCATTAAAAAAAAAGATTTGACTGCAAGTGTATGACCTATAAAAACAATAATATATCAAAGCCTCATTTATAAAATCGACGGAGAATTGTTTTGTTCATCGTTATATAGAAAGTTAACGAAAGTTTCGGCGACACAAATTGTGTTTCCGTTGATTAGATTGTAATTACTTAAGGTTCGCTTATGTCCATGCTCGTGCTCTTTTCTCGATAAATAGGTCAAAAGAAAAAACGGGTTAGTATACGTAAACGAGAACGACCTGCATTTAGGCTGCCAAAACTCTAATCAAAACGGAATGTCTTAGTCGGTCGATTGGTGTCAAGACCCAATCTGTTTTACTTCACTGTCACACCTTAAGTATTTTGCGAGACTCGTTTTTAACTTTTGTTCTTTTATTCTGAAGTTGATTAGAACTTTAATTAGAAAACAAGATCAGTTTTCCGCTGACAAATTAAATCATTTTTATGAAATAGAATCCCGGAAATCCCTTCACTGAGTATTGTGCAGTTTTAGAATTATCTCTGAAGCGAATTTGAAATCGAAGGAGTTAGGTTTCGTTTTGTAATATTAAGAAAATAAGGAATTTAAATCCTGTTTCTTATTTATTTAGTGCTTGTTTATCAAAAAGTGATTTACTTTACCAAAGAAAAAAAGAAATTAGTTTCATAAAAGATTCTAGATATCTAGGAAGTCAGATAAGTTAGGATGGAAGGAGTAGTAGGGATATAAAGCAGAGGATAGCGCAGGGTCGTGTCGCCATTAATAAAAAGAAGTCACTTCTATGCTCGCGAACGGTTAATTTAGAAATTTGAGAAAGGTTGTTAAAGGTGTATGTTTGGAGCACGGTGTTGTATGGGTGCGAAACATGGATAGTGGGCGCGGCGGAAAAGAAAATGTTAGAAGCGTTCGAAATGTGGTGTTATAGGCGGATGATGAGGATAACGTGGATAGAAAAGGCTAGAAATGAAGAGGTATTAGAAAGAATAGGAGAACAGAGGACTCTATGGAAGTCAATAAAAAATAGGCGAGATAGGTTGGTAGGACACCTTCTCAGGCGTGAAGGTCTAGTCAGAGACATATTAGAGGCAGAAACAGGAGTTAGGAGGGGTAGAGGTAGACCTACATTAGATTACTGTTTGAAAATAGTTAAGGATGTGGGCTGTTCTAGTTTTAGGGAAATGCGAAGATTAGCTCAGGATAGGAAAGAGTGGAGGTACGTGTCCAACCAGTCTTAGGACTGACGACCTTACGATGATGATGAAAAGATTCTAAATTTAGTTTTACTGCTATAGTGAACATTTTTATAGTGATAAAATAAGGTGGTGTGGTTGGTCGATGATTTATGTTTATTCTGGGCTGTTACTATTTGCATTTTCATTACATTTTTGTAATACTTAATTGAATAGTTAGCGAATGTATTATTAACTCATTTTCAAAAACTGAAATATTAAAATTATTATTATTATTACTACTTAAACGTCAACTTGTGATTGCAGTATGTTCGACCACCTGACTGATGAGTGGAATGCATACATTTAGTTATTCTAAACGAAGCATATCTAAGAAAATATGAACCACTTTTTCGAAAATTCATTCTTAATTCTTTCCCACTACAAACTATCTCAAATTAATGAGGGAATAATTTGTTGCTGTTGTCACACCCTCACCGGGAATCGAACGCGGGAACATAGTTCTCCTAGGAATTGTATGAAATTCCTATATTGTATTAGGAAATGTATAAAACTAATGCTTTCTGTGAATAAAATGAATAAAACACGTTAGTAAACTGAGAATCAGTTATCTGTGTTTACGCGGCTCTAGTGTGATCGCCTGATGTATATGCATTGGTGACGTTATTGTTTGGTTAGGTTAGGAGATGTATAGGTATTAGTGACGTTATTGTATGGTTATTAGGTAGATTTATGACAGACTGGATTCCTTCAATGCTTCTGCCAGTCGGAGTTGGGCTGATAAGTTGGAATAATGTCTTCGAAAAGTATGCTTCATTATGATCTCCGCACCCAAAAATTGAAAGTCATAGTGTTTGCTGAAACAAACATAACCTCGTCACATTATTCTAACATCTAACATATCAGCAGGCAGGGTAATTAAAGAAACTCCAGTCTGTCATAAATTCCCCTAACTAAACAATAACGTCACCAATGGATATAAGTAGGTACATCTCCAAATAGCCTTCCGTATTATTGCCCATTTAGTATTACATTAGAAAATGGCGTGTTGAGCGCCATCTGTAGTACGATGCTACATTTAAGGATTACATATGCTCCAACAAGGTCCATTTAAAAATATGGATATCTACTTGCTGAAACGAATCCCGGCGTAGCTCACCTCAACGTGATAGGCACGTTACCATAATCGAACAAAATAATTCGAAGTGGTCTGTATTCTGTCGAAACTGCCAGACGCGGATCGCGATTTCGATCTTTTTGGATCTCATCAGCGCGTCGCAGGCAGCTCCGACAGAACTCGAATTATTTTGTTAGTATTACATGTAATACATTTCCGATTGTTATTTAGGAAATGTCTAGATTTCTTAGAAAATATGTCTAATATAACTTATTTCACACATTTTCGGGCAATTTTAGGAATTATATACATTTCCTAGGAATTGTATACAATGTCGAATTTCATACATTTCCGGTCTATATATATCTACTAATAAATAATGTAAGTATTTAAAGTAAATTGTACTTGACAAAAAGTCCTGAATTATTTGTATAGCAATACACGTTTTTTCTTCAATTTTTTAATCTGATGACCTTCAGATTAAAAAAATGATAAAAATAGTAGTAGTAGGAAGTTGAATGTTTTATTGTCTACTTTTCCTTTTTTTTTTAATAATACTCGTTGGTATTCTTTTATGGCAACCACAATAAACATTAGTTAAAAAATCGTAAGCAATGTTTTGTTGCACATTTTAATTGATTATGTAATAAGAGTCGCGTAAGAGTTAGTCACAGTGTAGGTAAGGTGTGCGCTAGGTCTGTCCCCGGAGGTTATTCAATTCGGCAACCCATTCCAAATGTACCTAATAAAATATACTACCAGGAAAAAATAAAAATAAAGAGGCTATAGAATTTTATTTATAAAAAAGATTGTATGAAGAAATAGCTAGCTAAGTGTTTGTACCTTTTATTAAAATTCAAAAACAGAAAGAATCGTTTAATGTGATCAAATGTACTAAAACGTTCTTTTACTTCAGCAGAATACAGAATTAATTTAATTAATTAACTCTTAATTGTACACGTCTGGTGCACATTCTAACTTATTTACTTTCTCTCTCTGGAATTATACACTACTAACGAATAAAATCGTTATAAAACCTTTTGTGCTCTTGTCAACATGTTAATTTAACCTATTGCAGGCAAAGATATTCTATAATTATATCCTGGTTTTGGCTGTTACTACTGATAAGCATATTTCTTTTTTTTTTAATAACTATGGTAAATTCGTAACTGTAGGAGGCGAAACAAGTTTATTGGATACTGACATCGATGGAATTGATTTATGGTCAAGTTTGGTGTACGATTTCCCATCACCAAGAAACGAGATACTTCTTAATATCGATGAGGTAACAAGATGTGCCGCTTTGAGGTTCTACAACTGGAAACTCATCGTGGGTAAGAGAAATTATATATGTATACGAAATACAATATATACAGTATGATACACATTTTGTTTAAAGCACTTACCGACTGTTCTTTAAAAAGTTAGTTAATGTCGCCTTAAGTATATATAATTATAACATATATAAACGATTATTAATAGAAAAAGAATCACTTAGCTAATTCAAAATGTAAGGGTGAAATACAGAAATAGGAGAGTGATATGTAGCTTCTATAAAGAGCAACAGGCAATTATAGAACTTGAGTAGCAACGTAGAGAAATAAATAATAGGGATGGCGTCAGAGAAGGTTACATACTGTCAGCGCTACTTTTTAATGTATACATTAAAGACAAGACAACTTTAGGGACAGATATACAGGGACAAAAGATTTCTATGCTTTTTGCAAATGATATAGCGGTATTAGCATCTAGTAGCAAGTGGAAATTAGAGATAGCCATAAAAAAAGCGGTATTGACAAAACAGTATTGTATGAGAAAAAAACACTGGCATGCAAGGGAATATGGGAATGTATTAGAAAGAATAGAAGAACAGCGCTATGGAAGTCAAAAAGAAATAGGTGAAATAGGTTGCTAGGACACCTTCTTAGACATGAAGGTAGTTACACGGAGAAAACTAAATTTTTGACGAGGAAAAAATTACAATTTTCCATTGTAAATGATTGAATTTGCTTTAGAAATAATATAATAATTAAGGAACTTGTAATGGTCCCAATTTTGACAAGTTTTTTTAAAAATTATTGTTATTATAGTTTCTTAATTGTTACATTTTAATTTGTAATATCAACTAAAATGCCCAGTAAATTTATTTCTGCTGGGATTTCATTTTTACAAATTCTGGTCAAAATTCTAAATTTATTATTTTTTTTCGCTTAGGAAGCGACGGGTTAGTGGGATAAATTGTAAATATCGCTTTAACATTTAGGTAAATTTCCCTTTTTCATTTTCTTCGTGTATAAATATATTGGAGGCATAAACAGGAATTAAGAGGGGGAGGGGTAGACCTAGATTAGATTATTGTGATGTAGGATGTTCCAGTTTTAAAGAAATTCGAAGATTAGCTCAGCATAGGAAAGAGTGGAGATGCGTGTCTAGTCGTAGGACCTTATGATGATGATGATAATGATGATCATATTTGTAATGTTGAATTATGTGATCATTTTAAACGATATTGATAGAAAAAGAATGTGAAGAAGGCTTCTTACTAATTGTATCTCTTAGCCAATTCATAGGTAATAAAATTTGACACACTGCTGTGTACGCATTATACGTATATGTTAGGCTGAAGAAATGTTCTCAAGAAAATGAATAACATTTATACTTGTCTTGAAATAGTCTCGTAACTACTTCTTTAAAAGTATATGCTATTTAATTAATTCGTTTTTTACGATTTTATGAATTTAATAACTAAAGTTTGGAATACCCTACACCTAAATGTTTTCGTGATTATCATACCGCGTAATGGTTATGAAGTTTTGTTTTGGGTAACGGTGTACAGTTATTTACAACTTGTGTATTCCTTTTAGAAGCCATCTTTAATAAAATGTTTCGAATTCGAGAAATTGGATTCTCTATGATTTATGGAACAAATGCACTAGCCATTCTATTTCTTGCAAATGTTGCATAAATTCTATCGAATAAGATGCAAGCTAGCGAGTACAGAAAACAGGAATATTTCGAGATTTACAAAATATCAATATTTTAAGTTTTATTTACAGTACAGTTTTACAACTGATTAAAATTTTAGTTCGGATAATAGCATGGGCCAGCTGCCCTAGTACAGTTAAACGTAGAAATCTTTTAGTATTTAAACCAATTTTTAATTATTGTACTATTTACTAAGACACTACCGTTTTGCAATAATAGCAAGATTTTTTTTTGTATGACAGTATTAGCGTCTGGCAAGGAGGAGTTAGAGATAGCTTTAAATAAAATTGAAGCAGTATTAACAGAACAGTAGGTGCTGTATGAAAATAAATAAAACTAAAACAAAAATACTGATATGCAAGGGATGAAAAAGTTAATATAAAGATAGGAGACGAAAATTAGAAGAAGTGGCTGATTTTAGGTATCCAAGAAGTCAGATAAGTCAGGACGAAAGTAGTAGTAGGGATATAAAAGAGAGGATAGCACAGGGTCGAACCACCTTCAATAAAAAGATGTCACTTCTATGCTCGCGAACGGTTAATTTAGAAATTCGAGAGGGATTGTTCAGGGTGTATGTTCGGAGCGCGGTGCTGTACGGGTGCGAAACATGGACGGTGGGCGCTGCGGGGAAGAAAAGGTTAAAAGCGTTCGAAATGTGGTGTTATCGGCGAATGATGAAGATACCGTGGATAGAGAAGGTTAGAAATGAAGAGGTATTAGAAAGAATAGGAGAACAGAGGACTCTGTGGAAGTCAATAAGAAATAGGCGAGATAGGTTGGTAGGACACCTTCTCAGGCATGAAGGTTTAGTCAGAGACATATTAGAGGCGGAAACGGGAGTTAGGAGGGATAGAGGAAGACCTAGATTAGATTACTCTTCGCAAATAGTTAAGGATGTGGGTTGTTCTAGTTTTAGGGAAATGCGAAGTTTAGCTCAGGATAGGAAAGAGTAGAGGTGTAGAAAATACTCAACAAAGCAGATGTAACCGTAAAAACGGTATTTCATTGTAGTCAATATAACATAAATAGAGGGTCATGCTCAAATCCTAGTAACAGTTTATGAATTTATGATAGAGACGAAAGTCGTTATAGTCCAAGCAGCACAACACAAAAATAATGTACCGATGTACGTCATGGAAAGAATTTACCTACTTGGTAAAAATACCCGTCTAAAATTTACACAATTTCTGTGATTCTATGAATTACAACTTCTTGTTGTAGAACACATACTTTGTACCATGTCTCAAGGCACTTCTGTCTTGCCTGGGAATTTAAATGTACTAGGAATAGTAAAACATAAACAGGTTATCATGCATTTAAGATTTTTCGATTTTCAGTGAGTTTTATTTTTGTTTTTAATTTACACAGAAGAGAGAGGTTTTTTTTGGGGTAATTAGGTAATACATTTGTACACTGGTTGGCAAGTAATTTTAGGTGGGGTCCGGGTGTTTTTGATAATTTCTATCGAGTTCCAAAGAAAACATTCCTTTCTCCAATGAAATGATACGGGTGAATCTCAAAGCTCAAATATACTTAATAATATTTTTTGAATAACTTCTTTGAATAATTTACTTCTGCAACCGTTGCTCTGTATGCTAGTTATAACATATTTATTTGTTTAAATTTTGGCTTATTAAATAATTAGCGTATATACAATAATAAGAATAAAGATTTAAATAAATGCACATTATATCTATATTATTGTATAGAAAATATCTCCTTTGTCTCCCCTGTGTCAAGTATTGGGTACGCCCATGGAAAACAGCGTATGTCTTTCTGGGATTGTTTCACTTCTATTTTATTGTTCAAGTGTTAGTGACAGTGACCAGTTAATTACTCACTTTTGGTGAGCTGGGTCCTCCCTTTGAAAAATGTTTTAGAATGCTCGTTGTGAGAAACACAGTTTGCAATTTATCACGAAGCAAACGACAGTGTGCCCAGATGGTTACAAAATACAGAGTAAAATATATTCTTTCATAATTTTATCAATCCAAATAAAGTTTGCAAAGTTACAAAAATGACATCAATTTATAATGGATTGTGAAGACAAAGAAAGCAACAGCATTTGTCTAAAAGAAATAAGATTATTAACAAATATTTCTGGATGAAAACATTGCAAAAGATTTTAAAATCTTATCTCATTTAATGGTATGATCTAGAAGATTCAAAAGCAACAATTTATTGCTTTTAGAAGTCACTTCAATATTGCCCAGAAATATACTTTTAACGTTTATTATAAAAGTTTAAGGCTCATAACTGGCGTATAGTATCAATACCGAATTTGTAAACCGTTCGATTGTCGTAAGAAAAGAAAATAAAAGTTTATGGATTGTATAACATGTGTAGGAAACTTTTTCAACTGTACATAATAAACATATATATATGTTTCGAATAAGTGGATTTACGACTTTTTGTTTAAGACAAAGAAATTGAAAGTAAAAAACAGAACGGAGCTATTTTCATGAATTTTAATAGATAGATCAGAGAGAAAAATTATAACAGGTCAATCAACACTAGGGATGCACCGGATAGTAGTTTTGCCGGGTCATTGAAAAAGTCGTTTAAACAGTAAACCAATCAAATGATAATTCTCAGTTGGTGGAATTTATTAATTTATTTATATTAATGTTTATAAACACTAAAAGTCTATAAGATGGCAAAATCATCGTTAATCAAAACCTGACATATCAACAAGCGACAGAAATGTGACAAAATTGTAACACTTCCGTTATTCAAGTGCAATAGGGGAAAATTCAATATTTCACGAGTCGGAGCGTGGAATGTTAGAACAACGAAGAAAGCAGGGAAGCTAAAATTTGAAAATTGAGAAGGATAGACTAGAATTAATTATAGTAGGCGTTAGTAAAGTCAGTTGATCAGAAGCTGGACACTTCTGCAAGGTGCAATAACAGGTTCTTTTGGATTAGACACTAGAAATAACAGGGGAGATAGATAGACTGATAGAATTTTACGATAAATCATTGCATTAGGAGGCGCTATACGTTGAAGATGCTAGGTGAATTTCCGGAAATATCAGTGAGATTACATATTTGTTAGGCAAAGATTTAGAAATCAAGAGAAGAACTGTAGGAGTTATCTAGGAGCAAATATAGTTAGCGATATAACGTAGTAGTCGTTAAATTACAATTAAATTCGAAATTCTGAAGAAGAGATAAAGTACGATACGTCTTGACTTAGGACAGCTAAAATGTAATGAAACGCGTGATAGGCCAGATAAAAGGACAGATAAAATACTAAAGAAGGCGGGAGAAACGAATGGCAGGGACCTAGAGACAGAATGGAACTGCATTAAAATGCGCTTAAAGTCAACAGCTAGAGATATATTAGGCCTTAAACAAAACGAAAGTAGAATTGTAGTATTAATAGACGAAGAGAGGAAATATAAAAATCGGACAGACGAAAAAGGACAAAAAAGATATAAGGCAATAAAGTGGGAAATAATTAGGAAGTGTAGGGCAGCTAAGAAACAATGGAATGATATGAACTGTAAAGAAGTAAAAGAAAAGTTTGAGGTAAGTGAAAGGTATAAAACTTTGATTTTTAGAGAAGTATGGTACAATAGTAATAATGTAAGTAACGGGGCAGGGGTCATTTTGATACAAATGAGGAAAAGGCAGATAGGTGGAAATATAAAAATATACGCAGGTCATAAATTAGGAGATATATTAGAGAAGGAAGATAACGTAAAGATAGGTGAGCCGAATTTTTCCCATAATGAGAGAGAAGATTGACGTAGCATTTAAAAACTTAAAGAGCAATAAGGTACCAGGTGTAGATGGGATACAGGCGGAAATCCTAAAACACGCAGTCCCTGTAAATTAAAACGGAACATAGGCCCTGCCAATGAAGTGGGTATGGTAGGTAGCTGTACCTACACAAAAATTCCGCGTGGATATTGTACCCGCCCGGAATTTTACGTTTTATAATTACACACACAATTAGACACTTATATTTTTGGATTTACATCGAGAAACTCGAATGCTTCGTGGATGCATGTTTCTTCACGACCTACCCTAAAATAACCTTTTAAAAGTTAATTTCAATGAAAGACATATTAAAGTATCGCATTGATTTTTTATGGCAGTACCCGAACAGCAATTTAGGTAGGTACGGCGAAATGTGTACAGCTCGGCACCATCTTATTAACCATGGGTCATATTTCGCTTTTGTTCAAATTTCTGAAAAATCCTGTATCGGTATAATCATAAAGTAGCAAAAGCTGAAGTTCGCACCCCAAGGAAGGACATTAGGTCTAATTACCCCGATTTCTGCGTGATCGAATCATATAAAGAGATAGAAGTTTTAAATGCTTCTCGTAATGATAAATTTCAGGAGATATGAAAGAAAGAAAACTTAAAACCTTCAACTAAACGAACCCCAAATTCAGTGTTAATGAACAATAATGAAAACGTTTCAATCTGAAGCTCGATAGGCAGCTGATACATATGAATTTACGACTCTGACGAGTTTAGATAAATCGTTCTTTGATATGTTTGACTAAATTCTTTCATCTTTAAAAAGTAGATTCGAAAATAATTCAGCCCATTTTCTTAAGTTAACCATCTGCAGTAGGGTTTATAAGAACGATTTTGATCAAACCAGATTGTAAGTTCAGATTGCTGAGTGTCACAGACATGTTTCTGCAACTTTTAAAAAGGTAAAACGAGCAGGCAGGTTACTTAACCTAACCTGAGGAAAGTTGTGGATTTTTTGAAAAAGTAAGAATGGTGTAGGGGGCTTATACCAGAATTCGTTCAATTTATTCGCTTGCTCATCATAATTTTGCCCTCATCCTGTTCAAATGAAAGGAGTTTCTCTGTGAAGTGCTAGTTGGAGACATATTAGAAGCAGAAACAGGAGTTAAGAGGAGTAGAGGTAGACCTAGATTAGTTTACTGGTTTACTGTTCACAAACAGTTAAGGATGTGGGATGTTCTAGTTTTAGGGAAATGCGAAGATTAGCTCCAGGATAGGAAAGATCTTGACGACCTTATGATGATATTGATTAATCTTTATTCATATTAAAAGTAAATTTACTCAGGAGGTACAATTAAACAAGGGAAATTAAGTCTTTCTTAATTTGAATTAGCCTCCGCTTCGGATTTTCTTTTTCTACACGTATTTATTCGTCGGGTGGGAGTTTCAAAAAATTTTAAGTGGGATAAAGAGATAAGGAACTAGAAAATCATAGAAGTACTGAGATAAATGCTTTAAGAAAGTGCTGGAAAATATTTGTATTCACTACTGTGTACATAGATGCATGTATAATTTTTGCTGATTTCTATCATTAATCAAAAGGGCCAAAACAGTCCTTCGGCTTTTGAAAGGTATGGTTGTGTAACACAAAAATAAAGAAATTGAAACGAGAAGACAACGTTAAGTGCTGTTTGTGGTTTTTGATTTTTACAACAATGGTTATTGTTAATTTTCAGGAAATCCGGAAGTAAATGAAACAAGCAATTCTTACGACGGCGAAAGCGGGGATGAAAACATTAAACCAGTAGAGTATAACGTATCTGCAATTCAACATAGTCCAGTAGGAAAAGCAATAATAAAATTAAGGTAGAGCAGTAATCATAAAATAACTTAAACTAGTATTGACTTAATTATTTATAAAGATTTCTCGATTACCTACTGCAAAATTTTCTATTTTTTAAACGTCAGAGTCTTAATTAATCAACTTAGGAAAATACAATACAAACATGGAAATGTTTAAACTTACGTACATTTTTTTCCTTATTAAGCCTTTATTGTCCAAATTAAAAAAACACAATGTCTTTTTAAACAATAATTAAAAAGATATGTCTCAACAAGCCAGAGTTGCTTCCGAAGTCTAAACTGGCGTTATCGAAGAGGGTTTTTGTAATTTCTAATAGATTCATAATAATCAGAAGTTAATAAAGTCGTTTGCTTGAACAAAAATATAAACAACAGTCAAATTTCTAAAATAACTCTTTTTGAAGCAATGGTCTGTTGAGCCATCCCAAAAAAAAAATTGCTGTTTCTTTAGAATTCAGAAAGAATTAAAAGCTTTTTCGACTTAATAATTAATAATGCTGATTTATTAGTTACAATCCAGCAAGTGAGGTTGAATACGAAATTCTCCGACAACAAGCTACTATAAAGTGTCTCCCAGAAAAGGCGAAGAAAAGTACTTGCGACTTATCAAGTAAGTTCAAAGTAACCGAAATTCTTTTAAATTTCTTTTCCAGCTATAAATTACCCAAGATGTTTCTCGATCCTCTCTACTGCCTCAAGGGTTATGAAAAACTATACAAGGCAGATATAAAACTAAATTTAATTAATTCATTATTCGATCCGTATTTTGATTTATTAATTAGCTTTGTAAGGGTGCGAAACGCAGTGTTACCACGGAGAGAGAAGGTTAGAAATGAGGAGGTAATGGAAATAGTTGGAGAACAGAGGGCGCTATGAAGGTCAATAAGAAATAGACGAAATAGGTTGGTTATCAGGATTGAAGGACTAGTTAGAGATATATTAGAAGAAGAAACAGGAGTTAAAAGGGGTAGAAGTAGAGCTAGATTAGGTTACTGTTCACAAATAGTTAACGACGTGGGAAGTTCTAATGTAAGGGAAATGTAAAGATTAACATAAGATAGGAGAGGGTTGAAGTGCGTATCCAACCAGTCTTAGCACTGACAACCTTATGGTGATGATTTAGCTTTTAAGCATATGAGAAAGAGTGACAGAAAATAGGTTTTGATTCTTTATTAAATATATAAAAACGTAAAATCTAAAATTAAGTTTTCCGTTTTACGCCAACATTGCAGGTTTTTTGATTTTTTTCTTTATCGATAAAATGGTAGTAATATTGGTTCTAACCATAGGCTATTGGAAAAGATACTTCCCTGGCGAAATTACCAATTATATTGCTAAGTCAAGTCCAGTTTGTTGTCTGGATGAGAACCCTGTAAATCCATTAAATTTAAATTCATCAAAATCGTTGGAGTCGTTTTTGAGAACGTGATTACGAGCGAACAACCAAACATATAAATATTGGATATCTGCTTATCGAGCCCTTTACTAATCGGAATGATCAAGTAGTATTTTAAGGTGCAATTGATTCAGGGTTTGCGCAAATAAAAAACTAAAATGCGCAGTGTAAATGTGGTTTCGCGCAGTTAAGAAAATGTCGATCCTTTGCTAACGCATGGCTCCCCCCCCTTGTAGTGCGCTGTCGTGATGCACAGGCTCTACTAATTTTGGGAGGGTAACTGCAGCGATGTTAGAGGTAAATTAGAAAATCTGGTACTGTTGTGACAAAAAAGCTGGTATTTTCAATGCAAAATTGGTATGTTTACGAAATACAAAATATCATGAATATTATTTACTTATGAATAGTATTTCAATAAAATAAATTTGGATATAATGTACAATATAGTACCATTCAATAAATAAATAATTAATCAACGATAAAATAAATGATATCCTTCAAGTTCTTTTAAAATTAACCGTCTGTGAAGTTTTCCAGTTTACGTATTTTGTGAACGGTAAAGAAAGACAACATGTAACATTGGCGCATATGCCCTAATAATTTTAAAGGATTTGAAATTTTCACTGTCAAATTGAAAGTATCTGAAAATAGTGAGAAATAAGAAAAAAAATATTAATTATTATTTGATTACATGCTAGATGACAGACTTAGTTAATTTGGTCAATATTCAGAACTTAGTATGTTTGCATACCAAGACAGTAGTGGCTTGGTGCATGGTACAAATCTTGAAAAACCAGTACATATACCATGAAATTGGTACATCACGCGGGAGAGTAACTATACACAATCAATAGGTACAGTTAGGTTAGGTTACATAAGCAGTGCTATCTCTATACTGGTAGCACTTTTGAAGAAATCGCAACAGTGCAGTTATCAAATTTACTTACGCACTGGGAAAGATGAGACTATTACATCGAACTCTCCTGTATATAAGATAGAATATTATACTGTTAAAAACAATAGATTTAAGATATACGAGGTCTGTTGAAAAAGTATCGCGAGTTTTGTATTTTTTCAAAAATTATTTATTTATTCATGAATATCTATTTTGTCCTCTTTAATGTAATCTCCACTATTATGCACTTGTGCCAACGTTTTATCCAACCCTCGAAAAAATCATTTTTTGTGATCTTGTTCAGCTCCTCCTTCGATGCCGCCTTTATCTTCTTAATCGTAGCGTAGCATCGTCCTATCATGGACTTTTCAGTTTCGGAAATAAGAAAAAGTCACAAGAGGCTGGATCTGGGAAATACGGTGGCTGCGGCATTATTGATGTGTTGTTTTTGACAACAAATTCGCGCACAAGCAACGATATGTGAGCAGGTGCGTTATCATGGTGCTAAAGCCAATTTTTGTTCTTCCGCAAATCCGGGCGTTTCTGACGGATTTCTTCGTGCAAATTGAGCATAACTTGCTAGGTAATATTTCTTATTGACCGTTCTACCTTGTGGCCAGAATTAATGATGCATCACATTCGACCTAACTTGGCGCGCTTTTTTTGGTCTTGACTCGTGCGGCAGCTTCCATTGGGATGATTGAGCTTTGGTTTCCACGTCATAACCATAAACCCATGATTCGTCACCAGTTATAACCCTCCGGAGCAAATTTGGGTCGTCGCGGGTAGAGTTCAACAGCTTTTCCGCAATGTTAATACAAAATTGAGCAATTGTTGTACGAATTTCGCTGCGATCAGTCTCATGCCCAAGTCACTGGTAAAAATCGAATGACAGGAGCCAATCGTTATGTTTAGGTCCTCAGAAACTTCTATAACGGTAACTCGACGATTGGCCAATACTATTTTCTTCACTTCATCATTTTTTTCGTATGTTGTTGACGTGTTCGGGCGTCCGGCACGATCTTCGTCGTTCAATTTTTTTCGGACCTCTGAGAACATTTTGTACCACCGATGAACGTTGCTTCGGTCCAAGGTAGCTTCACCAAATGGCACAGTCAACATTCGGAATGCGTTTGCGCACTTAATTTTGTTTTTTATACAAAATTTGATATAGATTCTTTGATCTATTTTTTTGAAATAGGCAAAAATCAAAGACGAATCAAAACATGTGCAAGCAAAGCAGCTGTCAAAAATTAACTGAACATTAAACATGACCTAACTTGTCGGTAGATGAGTACCAATATAACGCTGCAAAAAATCGAATATTCAAAATTCGCTTTACATTTTGAACAGGCCTCGTATTGCACTTATATATTTACAGAGACTGTAATTGCTGTATTCTGCTTTAGACGGCGATATCTGTTTGTTCGACATCCCTAAAGATCCTTGCGAGGAAAACAACTTGGTCAATTTTTTTCCAAGTGTCGTCCGCAGGATGAAACGGGCATTGGTCGATTACAAGTCCTCTCTGGTTCCACAACCAACGCGCTCGTTCGATATAGAAAACGCAGATCCTAAACTTTTCCAATTTACGTGGAATCCCTGGTTAGAATGTGCAAATCCCTCTTGTTCGCCGACGTAATTGTCAGTCTTCTGTACATTATTCGATACTGATTTAAATGCAAATTATAATTCCTTTAATTCTGCAGAATTGGAGTTGATACTGAAGACTCCACTTGCCTTTCTGTAGGAGTAGTATCGTTTCTCAATAAACTGTTTCAAATGCACTTTTTCTTTTACTTAAGGTTGATGTACTAATAGTAGAGTAAACGAAGATTTTCAATTCGGAAAAACTAGGAATAACTCGAACTATACATTTAAAAAAAAAAAAAATAAAGTTTAATCCTATTAAAAGTGTAGGTATAAATCTTGAAAAATATTACTTGGTTTTATTTTTTTTTTTTCGAATATATCTAATAATTAAAAAGGAAAAATAGGCGAAAATTGGTAAAAATGCGATTTTTGTACAATT